CTGTCTCTGAATAAAAGATTGCCCAGTACAGAAATAGCTCAGAGGTAGTCCCCCTGAGTTTCCTTCTTCTCCAGATCTTGGTCCTATTAACTCTACTTTTTTATTAGATCCCGGATCCATTATTTAAAATTGTTTTCAGTTGAAGGGTTGGTCTAAATCATTCAGTCTTATCAAGATCTATCTACAGTGGTACCTAAAAGAGTACCTGGCATATGTGGACAGGAAAGTGTTATCTGTGTCATCAGGTTTCCCGCAGCAAACCCCTACAACCAATCAACCAGCTCCGTATTTTATAGTGACCAAGCAATCCACTTCGATTAACTGAGAAAGGCAACAGGGAGTTTTTAAGGTTTTTGAACAAGAGTGTATGCCCATCAAATTAACAGTTTTAGAAGACTACTCAACCAAAAGACTAAAAGACAAACCACTTAGGCGAACATGACACTAGTGCAAGCATGAGGTAATAAGTGACACACAAAGGATGACAACAATGGGAACAAAAGGGGGCAGAACCCAATAAAATTAAAGATTTCTATCAACTTTGACTCTCACCTAGAGAAAAGTGAGGGAGAAAAAAGGGGTCAAAGATGAATGTGAAACCTCAAGTCTGAGAATGAAACTGACTTGAATAAAGAAGTAAAGTCAGACGTGAATATGAGGTACCCTAAGAAGAAACCCAAGGCATTTGGACACCCTAGTCTGACCCCTACCCAAAGAACAGTGACTGCTAAAAGTCTCCAAAACTAACCAGAATATCATTCACTAAACTAGCCAATTTTCCCTCTATCATGTTCTATTTCTATTGTTCATTGTTATATCAAAAAAAAAAAAAATTGGAAACTGACATTTGGAGGGTTTTGAGACATAAAAAGGGAAAATAAAATAGAGAATTTCATTATCACACTTAAATATAGAGGGAAGTAGATTTTTTTAAAAACTAAGGCAAAATATACTGTCACAGTTCAAACAATCCCATAGTGAGTAAAACAGTAAGTAAAAAAGTATGGATGTACAAGTACAAAAAATAACAGTAAGCAGAAAACTGAGTGGGGTTACATATAGTTTAGTTACATGTTTTTATTAATTTAAAAACAATAAAAACTTTTCAAAGTTACTGAAGTGATGGCAAAGTTATTCTTTCCAAAATGAAAGCCACATTCTTTTTAAAGAGGCAGCAATTAGATTATGCTGTTTATGCAAACCTTTAGGTTGAACAAATTAAAATAATCTTTTAAAATATCAAAAACAGTATTCTCTAGTTTTTAAGTGAATAACTGGGGAATAGGGAAGATTATATCATAAACTCTTCAGCCTCTCCAAGAACATACACCTTGTGAGAGAGAAGTCACACTGAAATATAAACTAGACAAACCAGCAGCTATTTTAAGATGCCCTTGAAAGACAGAGGCTGCCGTCCTGAAGGTCCAAATCATTGATTTAACAACCCCAACGCTAAATTTCTGACTATCTGCCAAAGGCAATTCATCGCCACATTCTGGTTTCAGCTCACAGTAACAGTACTTCATTTCGAAACTCAGAGCTGCCAACAAAAGGCTCCACCCAGAAACACTGCTCTGGGCCCCAGGCCTGGCCTGTATTATTGTTTCATCCTAGTGAAACTACCTGAAAGCCTCTACAAAGCAGAGATTTCCCCGGGATTGTACCACATACTTGTTACAATCAATTAATGAACTGAATTAACTGAACAATAAAGTAAGAAAATGAGTAAGCATTGAGAAAACAAAAAGATTAGTGGTCATACAAGGCTAATTACGCCACCCTTTCCACCAGGATAGGTCAAATTTCGGTTGCCCAACCTTCAATAAGCGGTTGCTGAGGTGTAACTGGGTCAGGTACTAAAGATTAAAAGACAAAACAGAGTCCCTAGCCTCAAAGGATCACCTGTACAATGGGGAGACATGGAAGTTTTAGAAACAACGTAGCACAATCGGCTGTGTTATAGAGTTAACAGAGCTATTACTGCCAAGATGCTGAGTACACAGAAGCAGAAGTTCCAACTGCCTGTTCTGTTTTGTTTTGAGGGCAGTGCAAAGGCTCCAGGAAGACAACACAAATGGGTGCATGCCTGGAAAAAAGAATGAAGTGGCCTTTGCCAAGCAGGAAGTAGAAGAAAAATATCTTAAAACTTATAAAGCCACTTCATCTGGTGTTGAGAAAATTTACAGGAGGTGATATTAGCATTTTAATCACAAGAAGCTGCTGGGCAGCAGACTTAAGACAAAAAGCCCAGTGCCCCGTGTTTTTGTCTACTCCACTGTTACCTAATAATAGCTAGACTCTATAATCTGACAAAAAGGTTCATGTGAAGTAAGATTTTTTTCACAAGCCATACTGCTAAATTCTGAGACATGCAGTGACTCTGAAAATTAAATTTCCTGGTTTTATATTTTACCTTGCTTTTACATTTACCAATAAACATATGTCGAGCTATCACTCTCTAGCTATGTTTTAATTTTTAATAAGAATTATTCCTGCATTAAGATAAAACGAAGGTTATTTAATTTCACAGTCCACTGCCTTGGTAAGGGTCGGGGAAACAAGCACTCTGATACATACATAACTGGCAGAAGTACACGCAGGTACAAGTCTTGGAGACCCCCATGTGGCCCTCATAAATTACTCACAAGATTGATTACTCACTGCAGTACTATTAGTAACTGAGCTCTCACATACTGACGGGAATCCACCCCCTCCAAAAGCTCAGAAACACTCTGAATTTCAGAGATCCTGTGTGGCCAACAGTTTACCTTCAACTTATTGATAACTGGTTTCGAAAACTCATGCCAAAAAATGTAGCCCCTGTCTTCCCAAACCATAATTAGTTTGAGCCTGATAATACAATGCTATAGCCCCCCAATTTTTAAAAGATTTTCACAATAATCTTCTAACCATAAGAATGAAAAGAGGTCTTTCAGTGTTACAAAACTGAATATAAGAAAAATCTACTCAAGCAGAAAGCGCAACATGACAAATTCAGCACATCACCCTGCTCTCAGTCAAACGAATGACCCACAGGGAAGGCACAGCACAGGTCTGATGCACATTACGTGGCTCCAATTCACATTTCACAGACAACTTTTATAAGCAAGACAAGTAACATTTTTAATCCTTATAATTTTGAACAGAAATGGCTTGCTTTCTGCTCTAGAAGAATCCTTGACATTTCAATAATAGCAAAACAGTGTTAAAACAGTCCTTTTTGAGGTCACTGAGTCTTTGCTGGCCTACGGAAATAAAAGCTCTGGTACTGCCTGCACCTGAAAGACCTCCCAGCTTCAAGTTAAAGGCACGCTCACACTCAGAGTCCTACAAGAACACCTTTCACTATCCAACAAATGGTAAATATTTATTTGTAGACATTCAATATACATTTTATTCACTAAGTATTCAATGCCTCGTAAGTATCAAGGACTGGACTAGGTAATGACAACACACTAATAAAGACAGAAAAATTCTGCCCTCTCAGAACAGAGTAAGGAGGGATAGGAGGTAGAGTGTGAGGATAAAGAAAACAGGTAAACAAGAAATTATAATACATGATGAACTATAAAAACGTAGTGGGTGTAGGAGGGACCCCAAACCCAGACTTGAGGGAACAAGATGTTTCCCAAAACAAATAATGTCTAAGGTGTAGCCTAAAGACTGAGTTCATGCTCACCAAATAATAAAGGCAGAGGGGAAAAAAGAATGTGCCAAGCAGTCAAGTTAACATGGCAAAGGCCAAAAGGTGAGAGAGCCCATGAAATGTCTACCGACCTGAAGTAAGTTCAGCATGCAGGAGCAGAGAGGCAAACAGTCACTCTGACTGAAATCCAAGAATAAGTCAGAGCAACCAGCTATGATGAGCATTTCAGTAAAATATATGAAGTGATGGTGGCCTGAACTGGATAATACCAAATGGACGGTAGAGAACAAAAACCAAGATAGAAATAGGAAGCAAACAGGATCTGACAATAAATTATACAAATGTGGGAATTCAGAGAGAAAGTGGGGTGAAGAATTGGTAAGCACATCATTTAAAGTTAAAATGCACCAATCTTGAGTTACAGCTAAAGTTATCCGCAATGCCTAGGCACTAAATATGTTTGTACTTAGAGACAAAAATGTGAAGAAAGCATTTACTTGGCTACGGTAAAACACAGCATTGGCTATAATTTAAAAAAAAAAAAAAGGTAGTTGGTACAGTAATCATTTGGGGTTAACACTAAGACACATCAGTTTACAAGATAGATGAACAACATCCAAGCCCAAATCATGCCCAGCACTTGCTAGAAGCGATGATTTCAGACTGCTAGCACCCTTTCCTGCTGTGGGACTGCCAGGTGTGGGCCCTGCTTATCTATCACTGGGTGACTTCTACACATCTGTCATTTCTACTCCAGCACTAAAATGTGATCTGGTCCTGGCATAAAGATAGTACCTGACCTTCAAGCACTGGAAACTTTTCTGAGGTGGGGAGGGGTGGAGTGGGGATCAAGAGGCCCAGTACTTCCTTAAACAGAATATTTTCCATAATTTGCCCCAGATTTTACAGCTGGGATAACGGTCATCTTTAGAGGGTTTATCAACAAGATGTTGGCTTCAGTTTTTATATTAGCAAATATTAGAAACTAGTTGGTAATCCACTCTTCAAATTTTTAAAAAAGGTTCTAGAAAAAAATTAACATACACATTTATAGTATAAAAGTCAACAAATCCTGAACTTAACAGAAAAAATAAAAGAAACATTATCACGGTAATAAATAGAATCAGTTAAAGTCTGAAATAAATTCAATCTAAAAATTTTCATGATTTCATCAAATTTTCATATTAACAATCTACTCCAAAGATTAGACAGTTTGATCACTATTCACCTAGAAAATATTTATAATTTTACATCATAATCAAATTAAATAGCATCTAGATATATATATTACATAAGCAAATTCCAAACAGTCGAAGATCCCAAGGAAGCAAAACCCACACAATCAGTTCTTTACCTGCAGCTCCTTTGAAACTCTCTGTAAGTGATTAGTTATCTTCTTAATCAGATCACTATACATCTGTTCTGAGTGCTGCTGGCATACACATTTATACACACAACTACAGGGAGAAAAACAACAGAAAAACTAAGTTAGCGTTAAAGTGCTTAATTCCACCCAAGGTAAAAGCACACTTTCCATATACAGCACAGGTCAAATAATTTCAGGCTTAAACTAAGTGACCAATCACAGCTGTAACAGTTGTCACTTCTTCCTCATCACTAAGTTGATATTACACACACACACACACACACACACACACACACACCCCACACACACCAATTCCTCCCTATTGTGCTGCTTTCATTTACCAGGAGCTGGGAACAAATAACCAAAACTAGAACTGTGTCGATAAACATCAACAGACTAAGCTAGAGACTCCTTGGAAGCTAAAAATACCTATTTCACTGTCATTCTTGCCTTTTTTCACTCTCCTCCAAAGTTTTTTATTTTCTATAACGGGTGGCAGGCTGAAGTGGGAAGAAGTCTGAGTGGGGTTAATTCAAATCTTGATTTGAAAACCAATTTTGAGCAAACAGTTTTAACCAAACCTCCATTTGTAAATAGCTGAGAGCTTCATCTTACGTATTGTATGTTTTCTGCATACATACTGTCCTATTTCAAGCGGCTAAGAACCCAACATACCCTCTCAAACCCAGACAAATTAACTCTGACTTACCTGTATATCTGTTCATAGGATATGGGGATATAGTCACCAGGACTCTGGGTTAAAAGCTGATCTATGGCACCATCCAATTTTGGCCAGTATGTGCTCTTATAATCTTCAATAGTTATAACATTCATTACTACAAGTAAAAAGTAAAATAAATATTACTATGGGTCACATGTAAATAAAACATTACTGATTTCACATTGACAACTCAATTTCCAATTTAAAAACAAAAGGGCAACCTGATCAAAGATTTTAAGAAGTCATTAATTGTGATTTAAAAAGGAATTACTATGAGTCTGTCCATCTTTAAAAACGAAAACCAAATCAGTAAACATCAGTGGTCTCCTTGAGGGTTCCTGTAAGTTTCTATTAGCAGTAGGTGTCTCAAACACGCACAGACTGTCAAAGATGTGACAAGACGGCCTCGTCCAGGAACCACAGTGAGACTCTGGGAAGCTACGAACCCCCCGAATCACTCTCTCTCACTGAGACCTACCTAAGGACAGAACTATGGGCATTCAAGTCCAGATGCCACAGTAACAAAAGCGGCTGCCAGAGCTCGCAGGTTATCACGCACCACTGGAGCCCCAGGCACTACCGCAGCTCCCACTCAGGCTCGCTCCATCTCACGCTTGGTAAGTCCAGCAGGAAGGACCTCCGTGAACTAGGGCCTTGAGCTGGAGGCTTACCTCATTCCTGCCGGCTGGCTCTAATTTCCTCACTACAGGTTAAGAAAGCACCTTACATGTTAAGAAAGCATCCCTAAGTGCTGATCCTAACAACTTTGGAGACCAGCTGCTTCGCAACAGAATGCTAAAGCTACAGAGCTGCCCAAAGCCCCACAGATGCTGGTGTCTTACGCTGACAGCCAGATCGGGTATTTTACTGATCACTTTACCAGAAACTGAAGAACAAAGGGTTGCCTTCCCCAGAGTAGATGGCTAATTACGGGTGGAGGTACAGCAGATAAATCAGCCTTCCCCTAGCGTGTCTGTGTCACACTGATGATCTCCAAATCTTACTCAAGATGTTTCTCCTACGTACCACACCGCCCCTATCATTTTTGTTCAATTTTCTTTAAATCAATTCACTTTTTCATTTTTGGCTTTAATAAATTTATTCTAAAGGACATTTGAGTAAAGAACTGCTGGTTTACACAGTAATCTTCGTAAGATCGCACAATATGAATACCCTTAAATGCATTCTGCTAGGAGAAAAATCGGGCCGAAAAGGCTAAGATCTCATGTGACACCAAATAAAGGCTGGAAAGTGGGGAGAAGGGCAGTTTCCTTGTAGGGTTTTCCCTGCAACAGGAACGTTTTCAGGGAAATGAAATGCTCTACATGGAACCATGATAGTGGATACACCACTCCACGCTGTTGTCAAAACCAAGAGAACTGCACACTATAAAAGTAAGATTTACTGAGGAAAATTTCATTTTAAAAATCAGCCAGGATGTAGTGGTAAAGATACAATGCAAATTGTGACAAATAAACCTAGTTTACGAACGAATCCCATAACCTGCATGGAAGGGAAGGGGAAAGAAAGGAACATCCAGACTGCATGGAAGGCCAAGAACAGAGGACACAGGCCTACACGCACGCACGTCAGACATGCACCAGGCGGCAGGCGGCGAGCGGAGGGCTACAGGCCACTGCAACGACGCCTGGCTTTTACTCAGAGTAAGATGGAGGCATCTGGAAGGTTTCGAGCTGAGCAGCGACGCAATCTGATGTGTGCAGTGTAATTCTACCGCTCGTTCCAGGTGCTATGTTAGGAGCACCCTAAGTTGGAAGGCAGTGGGGTTGATGGGGGACAGAGGGGAGGGGGGTTGAACCATGTGGTAGAAGTGAGGGCCAGAAGAGAAGTCAGATTTTGAATACATTTTAGAAGTAGAGCCGATAAGATGTGGTCTGGATGTGAGATATGAGACGGGGTTAAGGGTGACTCTGAAGTTTTTGGCCAGAGCATCAAAAGATGGGGTTGCTGTTTACCAAGAAGAGGAGAATGTAGGCGAAGCTTAGCATATTTGGGGTGCAGCAGAAACTGCTGGTGCCCCACCCATTTACTCTGTCCACAAAGGTCACTGTCAACACCTACCATTATTTGCCTCGGCATTCTCTCCAGCTGCCAGGGCTGCTCTGCCCACAGGAAGTGCCTGGTGGCAATACGCCTGATGAGAATTCAGTGTAAACACCCCAGGATCGCCCCTGGCCGGCAGGTGGGAGCAGGCTGAGGGCCAGGTGCTACATTGACTCCGAGAACTCCCCACTGGGCTGATGCTCCACTCACCCACAGCGCTGGCTTCCTCGCCAGCTTGCTGACCTTCCCTGTCTCGCTGGCCCACCCCTCTGTGGGCGCCTCCTAGTACCGCCCCTTTGTGCTTAAAAATGCTGGAGTTTTTTGGTTTTGTTTTTTTTTTTTTTAAAGAAACCCATCAAAAATAAAAAAGCAATATCATTTGTCATTAGACAGAAGGCAATACAGAAATAAATGCGGTGTTATTAAATTCCACCAGGGTGCCAAAGCCGGCCGAACCTCCCAAGCCTGAAGCTTGCTGTCCTGTGAACAGGGGAGCCAGCTGGGGAGATACTGAGAAGTGTCACACAGCAGCTCCAAAGTATTGCCACTCTGCTTTCAGAAGGATTCAAAGAAAACAGTTAAAAAAAAAAGAAAAAAGGAGAGTCTAGGTTATTGAATCCCCAAATCCCCTTACCAGTGTATCGCCTAAACCACGCCACTTTCCTGCTCTACACTGAGAGTTGAGATTTAAGCAGGGAAGTGACACTCAGAAAGAAAATTTCAATACCAAATGTAGGGTAAATGGGTTCATCAGACTTTTTACGCCACTAGCCTCTGGCAGCCTGGATCACCTGCAGCCTTGATCATGTTAATACAGAAGGCACTTGAGAGTGTGGGGTTGGGGCACATGTACCTCATTGTGAACACCTGCGGTATGGGTGCACACTCATGCGTGTACACACCTGAGCCAGAGGCCAGGGAGATACAGTGCTGTCAGAAACTGGCCATGAGAGGATGAGCAGCTAGGCCACGCGCCTGAGAGAAAACGCCAAAGCGCCCAGAGAAGACTGTAGTAAAGATTCTTGTGGGGCTGGGTGGCTTGGCTGCCTGCCTGCCAGCCTGCCACCACCACCCCCAACACACACACACCCACTGCTGGACACCTGCCAGCCTCCCTGCCTGGTGTGCCTATGCACCCAGTTCCCTGAGAGAGCATTAAAGGCCTGTAAAACCCACTGAAGGCTCCGAAACTCTGCTGACCCATCTGCCCAAATCCATAATGAACCTGCCAGATGCTTGCTGGCACTGCGTAGACCCGACATGTGGGCTGCCTGGCCACTAAGTTCAAGAAGCTCCAGGGCTACAGTTAGGGGGACTTTTACTTCTAAAACACAGACTTCAACTTTAGCAAATCACCCAGTCAAAGATAAGGAGGGAAAAAAAACTAAAATATTGAGCTCTACAGCTGTAAGTTCGAAGTGAAAGCCCCACTCCAGAAGCAGTGATCGCCCATGCCTCTCAAGTGTCTTTCATAAGCTTTAAAATATCTTTGAAAAGACTAAAACCCAAGTGAAAAAGGCATGGATCACCATAGGAAATCTTAAAGCCTATTTCACCTCCAAAAAAAGCTTTATTTTCAAACATATACATTAAACCCATATACATCTGTTTCCACAAATATTTTTTACTTGAAAAATAACCGGGAAGTCAGTTCAGTTGGCCTTTCATGCCAGCTGTTAGGGATTGTCTGTATCCTCAAAATTCATGTTGAAATTCCAACCTACAGTGTGATGGTATCAGGACGTGGGTCCTTTGGGAGGTAATTAGGCCATGAGGGTGGAGCCCCCATAAATGGGATTAGTAACTCCAGAGAGCCCCAGAGTGGCCCCTTGTGAGGACACAGCAAGATGACTGCCTTCTATGAACCAGGAAAAAGGCTCTCAACAGACTTCAAATCTGCCAGCACCTTGATCGTAGACTTCTCAGCATCCAAACTGTGAGAAATAAATATGCCACTGAGTCCACAGCAATCTGTTACAGCAGCCTGAACAGTCTAAGGCTTTCTTCTCTGGAGACCAGACAATCTGCATTACAATAGCAAAAGAACTGCAGAACACAGACAAACATCTATGGTATTGGTTATAGCTTGATGAACAGAATGAACCGTATACACTCTTAGCCAAAGATTAGGAAGGTGTTTCATCATATTCTACAGTTAACACTTAAAATGACAACCAGGAACCTTTCCTTGGTAACCTCAACCTGAAGAGTAACCACTCTGATTTAAAAAAAAAAAAATTTACAATTGGTTTGGCTTATTTAACATCTGACACATACAACCTCAAAGTGTGTGTGCGCGGGTGTGTGTGTCATCTTGAATTTTAAAACTAGATCCTCCTTAGAGAAATATAATCACTTTCAACTCTGCCCACAAAGTTCACAGTGACCCAAAGAAATATAAAGCATGCAACCTAAAGAACACTAACATCACCACTAAATGGCATGAAATTTTATATTAGATTTTCTAGTTTGAAAATAATGCACTACTTTTTAAACTGTTTAAAGGCATTAAAAAATCAAATGCTTACAAGACCCAGGCCATTAACATAAGCATTTAGTAAAGCAGGCCTTCTGAAGATAAAAGTGAACAAGTCAACACAGTGGAGAATGCAGTGCCCCTAGAGACATTCAAGTTCAAACCGTTTTAAAACCCTCGCATTCTCAAAACATCATGCTGCAAAGCTTAACCCTAGAAACACATATTTGGAAGATCAAGTTCATGTGGCATAAGTACTACTGAGAAAATAGTTTAATTGACCTTTACTAAAATAAGGTCTAAAGCCTGTGGAATAGCTGGATCTAAAGTTCAGGAAATATTATCAGGCTGCCAATAAATAAGAAAATACTACAGCTATACAATTTAGCAGGAATATTTATGTTCAATATATCTAACTTACCAAAACTTGACATTTTATTACCAATCTCCCTCAAACTAGTCAGAAGCCCCCAGAAGAGAAATTCACTGCTACAGCCCCAGCTCCAAAGAGTGACTCACACATGGCAGGTACTCAATTACAGATGTGAAGTAAATTAATTCAATAAGAGTCAAAA